AACATAACCTTAAATCAAATGAAATAACATAAAAGAAATAATAGGGATACTGGTAGGCATGAAAATAATGCTTTAATTTTGCTTAAAACTCAATGGAAATAAGTTTTCACTGTGCGGTCAAGGTGTAAACCACATGTACATTTGACACATTCTAATTAGGTATGACACAGGTATAAAGAAGTTATGTACCAGGTGTGAACCACATGTCCCAGTGAATACCAGATATAAACCCGGTAAATGCCAGGTTACAATAGACATAACCAGGTATGAACCAGGTATAAATCAGGTATAAATCTTGCCTAAACCAGGCAAGAACAATGTATAAACCGTGTTTGCCCTGATCCAATGTAGCCAAGTTTGAACACACCTATATCTCTAATGTTCACAACAACCGACTGCGTCTTATCAGTGCCCCCCAGTATTTACACTGTACACTGACTGTAACATTTACTGCCAAGATTATATTGCTCTAGCTAGCATATATGTTACACATTTGTTACATGAATTACATATTGGTCGTTTCCAAATTAATATTGCAATTAATTCCCCCTCTCTATTTACAAATTTCAGAAAATGGTTTATGGTGTTATTATATACTATAGAAGCTCTAAATGTTCTACCAAAAAAAAAAAAAATAATAATAATAACTTACATGTACATGTATGTAATAGAGACACAAGCAAAACGCTACTGAATAACAGAAGAAATGCGGTCCTGGTACAATTATCAAAATCATCTTCATCTACTTGTGACAGAGACAATTTTCTATTTGCAAAATAAAACATCTTTCGGACACTAATTTCACAGTTGCGCCTGCAAATAATGGGTCTAGGCTAAAGAAAAGGGCAGTCAGATTATCATAATAAAAACCCAACTAAACAGACAATCTGTCTTTGTGGAAGGACCTAAGATTTTTTACTCTTTACTCGGTTAACTAACCACCTAGTCACGACGCAGCAGGATGCCGATTGTCACCACATCGCCAACGGCTAGTCTAAACTTAGCCTTACCTTGCAACACACGTCGAAAAACTCGCTTTTCGTCGTGTTTTGGCGAACGATCCCGTTCCTGGAGGACATGTTTCTCTCTCCACTCCTGTACGCTTATCTCTTCAGTGTCACCATTATGAGCCTGAATCGTTTCCGATCGCTAGGTGGAAAACAACATGTCTTGCGAGGACTGCTACATTGGAATAACACCTGTTGCCTGTTGTTTGCAATATGGCGACTCGCGTGCGACGGTAAATGGGTCAAGCAGAGGTCACACACCCACAGAGGTCACCGATTCTAAGCCGCCTTGGGATGTTGACATTAAATTATTAGTGTTGTTCCACTTTGTGCACGAATGGTTTTGTATGTTTTTAGCTTCATTTTTTTTCCTATCTCGCTTTCCTTTTAAACTAAGTCCTTGCTACATGTACTGGAGAATTAACATAAGAATTAACCCTTAATTACGTCAAATTAATTAACTCAGTAATTAACGGATCAACTAAAAGAGGTCCCGAACTACTGGTACTTTAAAGTTCAGATTTAACGTTTCCTATCTTTATGATATACACACAACTCCCGAGTCTCTGAGAGAGCTAATGTTCTGTTTCCGGAAGATTATCAAGACTGATAGCAACGGATAATAACAGCATCCATCAGTCACTTGGTATCATTTTGCACAGTGAGATCTTATTGTGGTGAAAAAAGAACACGGTCTCAGACTCCTTTTCAGACAAAAAAAAATTAGACATCCATATATATATATATATATATATATGCCTATATTTGATTTGAATTGTATGTCGTTTTTGCCACATTTCAAAAACGGGCGTGCGAGCGCACATACCCACATGCCCATTAGGAGGTAGGATTACACACAAACAAACACACATTTAATGAACTGTTGCTATTAAATTGCATTATTGAAAGGCAGTCTGCAGCAGGAAGAGGTAGCGAAAGAAGACCATCTCATTTCACCCTAAATTATCTAGGGATATGCCGTTGTATATTCACCATTATGTAACATAGTAATCCCTGAAAATCAATATTCTTTGTCTTGCAGCAGAAAATTCCTGTCTTGCACCGTGAAATGATTTAAAATTAAAGAAAAATATAGGCCTGGCAGCAACGAGTCCCGGGGGAGGTACTTCCACCTCCATTCTCACATACGAACACATATCGGGCAAAGCAATGCAAATAAAAAATTATCCCGTGGCACCCCTCCCTTCAACCAACAAAAACACTATGGATATAGCAGTCTCCGAGGACTATTCATACAACAGAGTGTAAACTACTGCAAGGAACGCATTTCCTTCAGAGGGAAATTAAACCGGTTATGTTTGGCCAAAACGTTTAATATTTCCTATAAAATGAGGAGCGGTGCGTGCAATAGTATATCTTTTTTATTTCAAAATTAGCACTCCAAGTAGAGTCTATTTCCACATTCATAAAATTTGCATTAGTGTAGAATTTCACACTACGCTTGAAAGGCAAACGAGTTCAATAGTCTGTTTTTATATTTTGTTTGTGGTGTAGTCATGTTTCTCAAAAAGGCAAAGCGAAGGAAATAATTGATCAGCATTGTTCTCAGTTTTCGTTTTTTTTTTTTTCCGAATGTCTTCTGATTCTCCAGTATATTCAATGTTGTATATTCACATATTCTCAGTAGACATATTTCTCCTATCATCGATAAAGTTAGTGGTAGCATAAAAAAAGAATAATGTGTGTTTTTAGTTAACTAGCTGACTCATGCTAACCAAGTACCAGCAATATTATACGATTTTTCCAATATCTTACGGTTTCCACATACGTGTACGTTGATTTTCCTGTCTGAACATATGCGGAGGAGTGTTAAACATGCTAACAGAATTCAATTAGCACTGGTTATTGGCCGCTAGCTATTTACATAGCACTTACGTGGCAACATATTGGATTTTTTTCTGAAACAGTGATCACATGCATTTATTTCAGTTTTGAAGGATGTTGTGACAGGATGGGAGGGGCATCAGTAGATGCAAAAATATTTAGACGAAAGGATGCCTGTTGATGAAAGCGTATCCAGTTGGAAAGGAATCCAGTGTGGAGTTTTTTTTTTCCGGGGGTGGGGGTCTTATTCTGCGTGCTGAATTCTGTGATTAAAAGGATTCAAGTGGCTTTGCAGTGGCCAACAAAAAGTAAGACCCCATTCCCATTTGGATACCATCGCATGGGCGGATCCACGTCCATTTGAAGGGTGGGGCGGGGGGGGGGGGGGGTCCGGAACGTCAGGCCTCGGATGCGAAGCCGACCATCGCCTCCTTGATGTGGGTTCGGGACCTGCTCAACGGCCCAGAAAAAAAAATTGGTGTTTTGGAGAGCAAACAGCGCCCTTTGGTACGGTTTAGAACTATGATTTATCTTCTCAAAATTCTAATTTCAAGAGGGGAATACTAGTGTGATATACTTTTCAGAAACCGAAGGGGGAGTCAGGTCCCTCCTGACCCCTGACCCCCTCTAAATCCGCCAGTGCATCGGTCTACGTGGATCGACCCAATTCTGTCAGAACTCTCGATAAGTGCAATCAGCTTGATTGAATGACAAGCCTCCTGTGGGAGAAGAAAAAACAACGTACTCGTATTATCACCAGCTTTTCTGTATTCTACTTTGCACCTAGAGGAGGCGTGTTTATCTGTTAAGCTGACTGCATTCAGTGAGAATCCCCGCAAAAGTGGGTCGATCCACGTAGACCCATGGTGTTTATGGGAATGCACCCTAAATCACCTTTGTTGAATATAAAGCGAAGTGATCTTGCCGGTATGAACAATGAAAGACAACAGAAAAGAAGGGTGAGAGAGATTAATACGACAAAACTCCACAAAAGTTATATTCCATATGTACAGTATACCCTCTTATTCTGTGGCTTATCATCAACGAAATATCCCTGTATGAATCATCATTGATACTAACACTATCTGAAAATTTTATGCATTGGGTAGGCAATGCACCGGAGATTTAAAAAAGGGCATTAACGATTATAAAGTGTTCAGTGAACATCTGGTTTCCGACCATCATTTCAGCGCCTCCGCTGTAACGAAATGTATTATTAACCACCAATGAAACATACATGTAGATTGTTAAACAGATGAAATCATATCCATCATATTTGGCGTAAAATTTTTAATTACAAACTCTTCACATGTTATAGACAGAATTATATTTTATTCAAAGTTTTGTTCATACCTGTTCATTTAACTGAGAACGAGCCAAAGCATACGACTGAAAAATATATCTTTTTAACTGCGACACATAATGATCAACGCATGTAGTGATTTTCCCTTTATCTCCCAGGGATAGGGCCTACTGTCAGTACCGTATCCTAATCCATTCACAAAATTATGGCAAATAAACCCGTTTTTCATTTTTAGTTTTTGAGTTACTCTCGTAATGGAAATAAACACAGGTAAATTTCAAGAAAAGATAAAAAAAGTATCACTTGATAGAACGCATTCGTGTGTGTAACTTACGTGCCCTAACGTTTGCTTTTTCGCAACATGCCGCCTCGCGTGAAGTCTGACATTGCATGTGCTGTAACGGATATATTAAAGGGATAATAACTCTTCGTATGAGATCTATATTTCACAATAAGAAACATTGTATACAACTCAAAAAATATAATACATTCTGTTTTACCACAAAAACGGCAGTTATAGCCATTATTCTGATATCACAGCTTGTCATAAGACCACGTGACCTTCATAATAATCTCTTAAGAGATTAAAACATAAAACCAAACTTTTTAGAAAAAAAAAACAGGAACTAACTTTGAATGTAGAAATGATACGTTAACCACTGATAAGTATGGGAAAATTGTTGTTTACTCCGGGAAAATTCATTTTTTGGCCAAAACGAACAGTTATTATCCCTTTAATTATTCATCTTACAAATAACACTGACTCCACAGCACTTGTAAAGCCGGTGAGTTCTATCATGTGACGTGGACATAAGTATTTTTGACAATCATTTTGTTTGTCTTACCGTAAACCCAATGCCCACTGTGGCCGAAAATGACCCCGGCTGGAACTTGTGTTGGTCAAACTGGACAAGCAGTGACGTCTTGCCCACACCGGAGTCGCCGACAAGAATCGTCTGGAACGAAAAAAAGGCAAAATTACAAGCAAAGACGGATATCGTGGTATATATTTTTCGAAAATCATTCATAAAAAGGTTATTCCTTCCCTTAATTGTATCCTACCCGGGATTTTCTTCCTAGATCGCATTTTGTTCGATCGAGCCGTCCCTGCACTTGGATTCGATGTTTTATACCAGTTTTAATAAATTAATTTGGTTCTCAATAACTGACCAGGCATTTGGAGAGTCATATCTTCCTGGAAATTTCAGTAAAAAATATAGACATCGGGTACGTTTATTTAAGGGGTTTTATCATTTTATGCTACGGTCTAAGTAAGTACCATATAACTCTGCAGGATATGTACACGAAGGAAATGATTGTGGAACATTTTCAAACGCGGAAAGAATACCCATTAATGCATTTTTCATGTGTGACAATAACGGTTTCTGATGTAGCAACGGTATGCTTGTAATCCCGTTCAATCCAAGGTCAAGTTCAAGTCAAGCGAAATTTCCTCTTTGGGATCGGATTAGATTGAAACTAATTCAAATTCTACTTGCAAAGCACAATAAACCAGCTTTAGTAGCGCTTAACCATGTAGTTCACAAAGCCTCAACAAAGTGAATTGAACGATGGCAAACAAGCTTTTTAAATAAGTGAGTTAAAAGATCACACAAACAACAATACCTACACTCTCTTTCGAGCCTGAATCGCATGCATCAACATCCATAATCTTCACTGACAGCCACGACCAATGCACTCTTGGAAACTAAATTCCTCGGAATTAACGGAGGACCTCCCACTGTTTCGGATATGCAGTAGACCTTATAAACACAGCTCTGAGTGAATATTTAAGCCATACAAATTATTCAGATCCCTTTCTCGCAATACACACCCGAGAGCTGACGATCAGATCCCTTTCCTAAGAAAAATGACATATGTACATGCAGGCTTAATCTACGGCTCTAATGGTTACGATTTGCATGCACCATGCCGAACAGAGATGTTTGGTAATTGGCAGATCCCTTGCGATTTTGGATTGCGTGACGCAAAGTTCATTCTCAACTACCACAATGATAAGTGGCTTCAAGTTAATGTAGATTGATAGGTTCGTGATTGCCAATCAAACACGTATTATGGTCTGTTCATTATGATCAATCATTCGAGTAAGGGTATTTTCCTCCTTAAAGCAGCTTACGGTCTCTGTTCCGCTATGTTATATGGTAACGGCTGGGTGTCGATAATTTTAGGGACAAGAAGCTGGTTGTACAACAGAAATTATTCATTTATTTATTCATTTATCTATTCCTTTCATATCTATCTATCTATCTATCTATCTATCTATCTATTAATTCATTGTTTTTTTATCTAATTAATCATTCTTTTTATAGTATTTATTAATTTATCTATTAACTAAAAAGTTATAATCGGTTGGCCTTGTCAATAAAATGTTTCGCTGTTTGTCAGTTGTATGAAAGTCACGTAACTCGGGATATCTCCCGTCCTCTTCAACCGTATCTTACGCCAGAAGCCCCCAACGACTGCAAGTACAACTTGAATAGTCCTTTCGCGGATGCACTAAAAGAACCACTTGATTAACAGAACTCGATCGATACGTTTGTGCAAGGGGAAAGCTTCCGATTTTTCAGATGTTTTAAGGCAAGAATTACACTTCAGTATGGCTCGATTTACCGACCAGAGAGAGCAAGCTGCGATGTAAATAAATTCAATTGAATGCGCAAATAAAATTCAGCGTGTAGTGGCTTTAGTGCTGGCGCTTTGATTAATTGATCTTGCATGAAAAACAGACCTTTTGTTGTTTAGGAGGTAAATTAGTGCTAATATATATGACGTTCATTCTTTTATGCATCTACAGGTAAATTCCGATTTATCTGTCTGTTTATCATTTCATATCCATGTTTCTGTACAGTTATGGGATGGGTAAACCTCATAGCCCTGTGTCGGCATGCGTGTGCATGCGTTCGATCTAAAGAGAGGAGTGGTTATGAAGCTATATTATTATATATCATCGGGTAATGAGCATTGTTTTCGGATAATACAAATGGCAAACTTCCCTTTTAACTGTTTTGTATTGAATTTTTGCGACGCAATATTAATTCGTGTGATATCCATTGGAACGTGGGCATTATTTTATTAATATCAATGTAGTTATATATGGCAAAACTCAACATATTATCAGCCTTTTGTTCCAATTTTGATATAATTAACGCACACAATAAATTTACAATATATTGTTGGCCTTTCTGTAGAACTGGGGTGTGTTAATATATGACTAAATACTGTTCCTATCACGATCTTTTTTCAAGATGGTTTGGCAGATATCCCGGAATAATTGTCATGCACGAAATAATTCATTTTCATAGGTGATAGGCCGACATACGTAGTCTATATTTACGGACCGTTGTGGTTTGAATGGTTTATTTGGTTTCACAGAATTTACAGGATCTATAAATTACCTGCTACGTTGACGAGATCATTACTTTATAATATGAATGTTTACAATAGGTTTGGTTAACTGTCGCTCTGTCATACTTGAGGACGACCGATTTGTGCAGATCAACGCCCGACAAACCCGAATGACCGCATAAAACCAGAGATCAGTCGTGCTCTCCCGAATAGATCTTGTTGTAGACACTCTTTGATGAAAAAGCCAATAAAACAAACCATTGCACGAGGAATTAACCTAGCTATATACGTCTATTTTATTGACTCCCCAGAGAAATCAAATGAAATGCATTAACATGAAGACCGTAGGCACTGAGCTGCGGGACCCGGCAGGGGTACAAGGACGTTCGGTGCTTCTTTCATGCGAGGAAGACGCTATGGTGTTTATTAAAAAAAAAAAAAAAAAAACGGAAGAAGAAAAAAGCTTAAGTGAAATCAAAATGGAGGCCGGAGTTAGACTAGGATAGCAATTTGGAAAGATAAACACAATCCATTAACTCTTTTGCTTCGTGACGTCGGTGTACATTAATGTTATTTCCATAGTAACATTTCAACAACTAAATCGTCCAGTATATCATATTGTAAAATTGGATGTGAGGCATTCACGATTCACATTGCATATTTATGATATGAACTTCTCCAATCAATAGAGATATATGATTTCAATCCGCTAATCTGTAGCTTGTTCGTTTATTGAGCGTTTGGTTATAAAGCGCCTGCATCATGTACCGATAAAATTACGCCATACATTTAATTGCAATAAAATATTCGCCCATAGTGAAAACAGACTTGAGTAAGATTCTGACCGTTGGATTATTAGAATTGTGGCGTATATAAGACACGAAAAGGTCGTATATATTGCTAAATTTTGAAAAGGCCTGTGACAACTAACATGAGTTTAGAAATGATGTCGTTTTTATACAATATCTATATGTACTAAAAACTGGAACCTTGCAAAAGTTGAGTTGCAATAAAGACAAGAAGTAACTGCTTTTCAGATATTAAGTTTGCACCTTCAACATAAAAGTGATTGCTTTATTGTGCAAAAACACAGATTAACATTGTTCTATATAAATCGATATTTTTCAGTCTTATAATTTCTGAGGTAGACAGCTAGGTCGGAGAATAATCCAATAACAAAAATATGTGATTTATTTCTGCAACACCAGAGTTTGAAATGACGTACAACATACAGACAGACTGACAGACACACAGACAGACAGACAGATAGACAATACCTATATCTGAGTGCAAAAAAGCAAAGAAATATTCTTTTATACATCAAAATTACTTTGATCTTAGCCAGAAGGCCGAAAAGCAAACACAACACGAAGAAACAAAAAAGCAACACTCTCAAGTACCACAAAACAACGACAGCAACCGTTACAGTACCACTCGTGGCAACGCCAAGTGGCAGATATTTTATGTATATTCATCTATCCATCATTAATCAGTATTACGACACTTTCATTGTATGCTTACTGCCCCCAACAGCGACAGCATTTCTCGTCACCGGGCTATCACTTTCAATTATAAACCTCATTCCGAGTAATCAGTGCCACCGCTCAACCCTGGACATCTTCCCTAACACTGGGGGTATTCTATCGCGTCTCTGATTGATTTCTTTCCTAGATACTGCGGTATACTGCAACTTAAATTGGATATTGATGGAACAAGAAGAGTAATTTTCTCGTATTCTGTCACTTTGGGAAGTCAATTCATGGAGTGATCATGAATAACAAACGTCCGGAGATACAGAAATATTTCTCAGCCAGTATCACTCGGTCCCATCAAAGAGACAATGCTTATTTGTATACTGGTGGTCTACCAATCGATTTCGCGACCGAATCTAAGCCAGGCGCTTGAAATTAATTGGTCCTAACTGAATAAACGGCAGAAGTCTTAAGTGACTATGTCGGAAGTCAAGAAAATGACATTTTTGTGTATATGGCAGTTGTTAGGAATTTCTCCGTAAATCTTTTTTATTTTCGGTTTCTGTGGACGTCTTCTTGTAAGGAGAGGATGATTTGTGACGCAAATTATTCTGAACATGCTTAATTTGCTTTTCTGGTCGGTTAAATTAGCCCTCTACATTTTCTCTTTCAATGAAACGTCATCGAACATGAATATACGGTTCGACTGTCGAGTGTTTTTAGATTAATAAACGCAAGCAATTTATCATCACTGCTAATAGTGATGCGCTTCAAATACGCAAGATAACAATTACCATGTGAGGCAATACTTCACATTTCTGAGTGTTTCAGATGGTACTACTGAGATTTAGATTAAAGGCTAAAATGAATAAAGATAACGACCATAGGGAGAAGAAGGAAAAATGAAGAAGTACTGCTTATGCTTCTGGGTTTTGGTCCCGTTTTTTACAGGACGCTATGAAATAATAAAGGGAATTACTGTTCGGTTAGATAAGAGATCGACGTTATATACAGTGTATGACGTACATGACTTACATTCTAAGTAGTGTCTGTGGTGGATGAAAAGTTTAGGTTCAACAGACCAAATAAACCCACCAAGAAGCGGCATTTAAAAGAAAGCTTAAAATACAAACATTAAGTGTAATTAAATCAAAACGCAAAAAGGTATACGACAGGCTTAAAAACCACAGAGCAACATTTTAAAGTTTCTAGAAGTCTGACGTTGCCTTAATTCCAAACGCGTTCTTCTCCGCAATCAGTTCTTGAACAGAGATTTTTCGACTTGCTCTCAGAAATCCAGGCAGACAGACGCGATTTTGAGTAACCAATTTAACAGAAATCCTCAGGATTGGGATTGGAATTGTACGGATTGGGATTGGAATTTTAAAATGACCATAGTGTGAACATTGAAAAAGATGATATTAGTAAGCATAACATGGAAAACTTTTCAATCAACCGATAATATTATGGTTAACTCTCACGAAACTTCTCCCTGCAAGTAAGAAATTTGGTAGATGACGCTATAAAGGATATATGTTCAGTTATACAAGCATATTCCAAGACAAATAAAGATAGGCCTACGCAAGGTACCATAAATTACTGTAGCTAAACTGTATTATCACTTATCTGATCGTGTTTGTTCTTTATTGTTATTGCTTATAACCTTAACCTTATGCTTTTGGATGTACAAAGTTCGGTGACTTGTAGACCCATGGGGCCAGGTGATTTATATACTTGTATATTTACATGTTTCGTTGATAAATAAATACTATATACAGAACAAAAAATTGAAAATACCTGAGGCCTAATAACCATTAGAATAACGTAGGCCAAATTTGCCCCGCCCCTTCTCTACAATATATAGTCTTCATAAATAAATCATGCAATCCCACTAGTTTGCAGTTTGTTACTATTGATACATATGTATGGAGGATGTCAGTGCATCGAAACGAACGCTGTCCTCGATGTATTCACGAAAAGAACAATTTGCAAAGCATAACAGTAAGTCAAGACAACATGCAGAAAGACCTGCAATATTTGTCAAAATTTTATGCATACAAAAGTTCATTACACTGTTACACTGTTGTAAGGCAGTGCAGTGTTAATGCCATACGACAGTACAACAAAATACGATATAATACAATACAATTTGGACGTTTTCACTGTACCTTATGTATCATTTGCTGATCAAATTCTTTCTCTTCCTCTTCCTCCATCATTCCTTCCTTATGCGATATCCCGTTTACGATCATACCGCCTCCCCCTTGCACCATCTTTATATAGTGGTCGCTCATTAATCAAGAACGATTCTGGAACGATGCGTAGACCCTCTTCCGCGCTTTTCTGTCGAATCTTCTCAAACCCCTGTCACAAGAGGAGCATAGAAGTACAGTCGACTCAAACCCCGTTCTATCAAACTGATCTCCGAAGACTGACGTCGTAGGCAGCCAAGTAGACGTGCCTGTCCGCCTTAGTGTTCTTTATTGGGATGCACGAAAACAGATTGAAATGTCGAAACGGGATGCCAAATGTTTAAATTGATGTTGGCTCAGAAATAAAAGAAAGCGTTACAATCAACCTTGTCAGGAGCAGTCAGATGTAGTTCAGCCTATTACATCCACCAATTGTCTGTGAGAAAACATATGTGAATTTAGCCAGCCTGATGCGAAGTCCATTAGTTCTCTCCTGAGCTAATCCAGCTAGCCCATCTTCACTGTGGAACACTCTCTCTCTGTATCAGTTTTTTTTTCTTTGCAGTTCAGGGACCCAACAAGCATCCGAACCATAAGCCTTCTCCACCGCTGATCCACTAGCTGTAGTCGTTCATTGGCAGACTGATCAATGAGCTCCTGGCCAAGAGACGAATTAACAAGACCGCGCAACCCATCAATAACGCAATAATTCCCCCAGAAAATCCCTGGGAAAATATATTCCTGAAACCTTAAACGCGTAGCGCAACATCCAGTATGTAGACACGGGTTATACTTGACGTGGCCGCCGAGTTTGATCAACGTCACCTCATTCGTATTCAATCGATGTTAAAAGCCCAGAAGAACGCGGTACAGGCTTCAGAATCGCCCGATGTTAAAGAATTCGTTAGCCTAGGTCAGCAGAAGGGAATTAGAAAAGGTTGCAAAATGCCAGTGTTTGTTTTCAGATTATGGTTGTCATTTAACAAGGGATGAAAAAGGAAATAATTGAAATGAAGATCTTGCTGTAGGCTAGCTACATATAGTGCAAAAAGGGGGAAGATGAATCGATATATCCCTCTGCTCAAAAACCTCCTTTCCGTGGGTCTGATACATACTTATGTTGGACCGGGAACGAGGCTGTACCTTTTTGATCGATATGTTTGCATCACCAGAGGTAGCGTGATAGAAATAGTGATGTGTTGATACTTGTTGCTTTTAATCGATTGCAAGGACACCTGTTTTGATTAATACAGCTGATGGCTCAACCTGAAAATGTCAAGGCTCGGGGTAAATTTTAATTCTAAAGGTTTCACGTGAAAAAATAAGCTCTTTTTAATTTGATTTCATTTACTTCAGTTTCATTCACTTTTCTGTTATATAATTTCATTTTATTTCTTTTCATTTAATTTCTTTCATGTTATCCAGTTTATCATTCTTTATGTTCTTTTACTCCTATTAACAATTATTTTGTTGGTTACATCTGTATTTTCCCCCATTAGGGTGAGCGTGGGTGAGCGTGGCTGTTAAAAACACGGCATCTGAACACATTTGTGACTTGTCAAATATCCATTTTTAAAAACATATCTCAAGACATGACTGCAGTATGAAGCTATATAATTTATCATTTGTACCTTACTTATATCTTGCATTGTATATGATAACAAACGATGAAGTTTATTTCCCACTGCACAACACTGGAACGCGTTAGCTTCACTTCAATGGCTATGCAATCACCAAAAAGTGAACGAATTACGAAACAACAGCCCATTTCATTGTTACAACCCATCTAAATAACTAGCCACCAGTACAATAAAATATATAGAAGCAGCGCCACCGGCCTCTACTATAGTCCTTCGGGATTATAACACAAAGCCTAATTACGCTTAACACGCAAACGCGTAATGATACAATCTCCTTTGGCAAACAGCTATCGGCAAAATGTTGCCAGTGCTTATCATATACCTTGTAATGCATCCCTATCCGCCCACCCCTACCCTATACCAGGGCAGCAGATTAATTATGTGCACTTTTCCCCAACAATGGAGAAATGTACCATGACATATCTGTGAATATCTAATGAAAAATCAATCTGTGGCCCTTGTAGAGGGAAACCCACCCCAATGTTCTGTAATGAATATTTATCTATCCACTAGAAGTTGTGTGGATTTAATAAAGAAATCTTCAGCCGATATACGTCCGCCTTGAAACTTGATTTCCTTTGTATTGCGTGGGGCTTAGAGAACCCGGTTGAAATATTCATACATGTAACGACATTAATCAAACGTCTCTTTTGAAACGGTCAATATTGTGTCGGTCTTGACCTTAAAATGCAGATTTACGTGCGCAGTTTGCACTGAAGCTCTGGGTAATTCTGGGTCCCTGGCGTTTTCACTGTTATGTTATGAAAGTCGAAATGTTCAAAAGAGAATGCGACGCGTTAGTTTATCTTACTTTTTGCATTAGCAGTAATCAATAACTGGACTGATAACACTGTGTAGATAAGTGTACTGCAGTTTTTAAAGGAAAGAAATGCATGTGTCTCCCTCTATCGGTCGATATAATCGTGGCAAAATAGCGAGGACGTTCTGCAAAAGGAGTGTAATAAGAAATCGAGAGGGGAATGCTATATGTTATGTCCACTTGGATTTGAACATTATTGTTTTTATTTTCTGGTCGTTTCATATGAAAATTCCCAACAAAACTGCACGACAAAAAAATGATAAATAAATAAATAAATAAAAATAAAAATTAAAGCACCTGAAATGTTAATTTAAACCCTGTTTATTCCCTTACGTTGGTTTGTATCTTGTGGCCCAATGACCAAAGGCCAACACTTCTTTTCAGCGGCGTTCTAAAATCTAAAGAATGTCGTAAAACACAAAGTGGCAGGCTTTTATGATGATGTCTGCTTATGCTTTATAAGTTCTCTGTTAAGATATTATTACGCATCTCTTTATATACCAACTTCAGGTTTTCTCTGTGAAGATTAAACAATAAGAAAATCGAGGACTTATTTTGATCTGTTTTATGGTTAATTTGTTTCTTGAGACTTTGGGGTCACATCCTATTCATGGATGTAAACCCAATCTTTTATTCAAATCAATATTGAATGCGATTTTTTTTTTAGTTAATTTTTTTTTTGGTTGAATCGAGGAATCGAGCAGTCAAATTAGATGATCACTGCTGCTTGATGTCTTTAAACCCAGTGTACTCTAGGGACATTGTAAGGATTGTGTAGATTACNGGTGAGCGTGGGTGAGCGTGGCTGTTAAAAACACGGCATCTGAACACATTTGTGACTTGTCAAATATCCGTTTTTAAAAACATATCTCAAGACATGACTGCAGTATGAAGCTATATGATTTATCATTTGTACCTTACTTATATCTTGCATTGTATATGATAACAAACGATGAAGTTTATTTCCCACTGCACTGGAACGCGTTAGCTCCACTTCAATGGCTATGCAATCACCAAAAAGTGAACGAATTACGAAACAACAGCCCATTTCATTGTTACAACCCATCTAAATAACTAGCCACCAGTACAATAAAATATATAGAAGCAGCGCCACCGGCCTCTACTATAGTCCTTCGGGATTATAACACAAAGCCTAATTACGCTTAACACGCAAACGCGTAATGATACAATCTCCTTTGGCAAACAGCTATCGGCAAAATGTTGCCAGTGCTTATCATATACCTTGTAATGCATCCCTATCCGCCCACCCCTACCCTATACCAGGGCAGCAGATTAATTATGTGCACTTTTCCCCAACAATGGAGAAATGTACCATGACATATCTGTGAATATCTAATGAAAAATCAATCTGTGGCCCTTGTAGAGGGAAACCCACCCCAATGTTCTGTAATGAATATTTATCTATCCACTAGAAGTTGTGTGGATTTAATAAAGAAATCTTCAGCCGATATACGTCCGCCTTGAAACTTGATTTCCTTTGTATTGCGTGGGGCTTAGAGAACCCGGTTGAAATATTCATACATGTAACGACATTAATCAAACGTCTCTTTTGAAACGGTCAATATTGTGTCGGTCTTGACCTTAAAATGCAGATTTACGTGCGCAGTTTGCACTGAAGCTCTGGGTAATTCTGGGTCCCTGGCGTTTTCACTGTTATGTTATGAAAGTCGAAATGTTCAAAAGAGAATGCGACGCGTTAGTTTATCTTACTTTTTGCATTAGCAGTAATCAATAACTGGACTGATAACACTGTGTAGATAAGTGTACTGCAGTTTTTAAAGGAAAGAAATGCATGTGTCTCCCTCTATCGGTCGATATAATCGTGGCAAAATAGCGAGGACGTTCTGCAAAAGGAGTGTAATAAGAAATCGAGAGGGGAATGCTATATGTTATGTCCACTTGGATTTGAACATTATTGTTTTTATTTTCTGGTCGTTTCATATGAAAATTCCCAACAAAACTGCACGACAAAAAAATGATAAATAAATAAATAAATAAAAATAAAAATTAAAGCACCTGAAATGTTAATTTAAACCCTGTTTATTCCCTTACGTTGGTTTGTATCTTGTGGCCCAATGACCAAAGGCCAACACTTCTTTTCAGCGGCGTTCTAAAATCTAAAGAATGTCGTAAAACACAAAGTGGCAGGCTTTTATGATGATGTCTGCTTATGCTTTATAAGTTCTCTGTTAAGATATTATTACGCATCTCTTTATATACCAACTTCAGGTTTTCTCTGTGAAGATTAAACAATAAGAAAATCGAGGACTTATTTTGATCTGTTTTATGGTTAATTTGTTTCTTGAGACTTTGGGGTCACATCCTATTCATGGATGTAAACCCAATCTTTTATTCAAATCAATATTGAATGCGATTTTTTTTTTAGTTAATTTTTTTTTCGGTTGAATCGAGGAATCGAGCAGTCAAATTAGATGATCACTGCTGCTTGATGTCTTTAAACCCAGTGTACTCTAGGGACATTGTAAGGATTGTGTAGATTACATGTTTAATTGGGTCAGTCAGCTATATATAGCACATTGACTGGTAAGGTTAAAATGCAGTGCAGTTAAAAATCACGGGATAAGCATTACACTACTGATTACATTTCTGTCATTTCTAGCATACAGGCATGGCCGACGGATCTACCACCCCCGGGTTTAATTTCAACAACCCAGAAAAAGACCCAGAGGACACGAAATTCGTACTGACCGACGGAGATGGCCTTCCATTTGAATGGAAACAGTACCAGGGACTAGTGGGTCTCCCCGCAATGCCCAATATTGTCGAACGATTGAAACTTCTTCCAAAGTTTGTTGCCCGTGAGGAAGACACTTGGATTTGCACCTACCCAAAATGCGGTAATTTAATCATTAACTACATGAATTTGGTTGATCAGTTTGGTTGGATGGTTGAGCTTTTAATATATAACATTGGTCAAAAAGGTTGTCCCACCCCCATTTCCATGTACTTTTATTTACAAATGATCACCTTACAGGTGTATATTGTTATAAACGATGCTTTTTATTCTAGATACTATGTCTAACAGGATTAAAGGTTCAAAAATACAAAATAGTGGTGTGAATATGCACATTTTATACCATTTAGTCAAATTTATAACAGGTACCCCCTCAATTCCAATGTTTCACTGTGATTTCCACAGATGTTATGAAGTGTCTATTAAATTGAAAAGACGCCATCAAATGTCACCAAATTTACACATAATTAGCATTAGGATGTGCTCGTTAAAGGTCACGTGCCTAATAGCGTGTGCGTCTACCGCGTACTGTAATTATCTCCTGGCTTTTTGTCTGACTAAATGGTATAGAATGTGTATATTTTCACCACTATTTTGTATTTTTTTGAACCATTAATCATGTTAGACATGGTATCTGGAATAAAAAGCACTAGTAATAACAATTTACACCTGTGAGCTGATCATTTGTAAATAAAAGTACATGGAAATGGGGGTGGGACAACCTTTTTGACCAATGTTGTATAGTGAAATAAAGATTATCGCCATTTCGTTTCCTTTCAAAATATATCTCCAAAGAAACCTGTTGAGAAAATAAAATGAGTACTTTCTGTTTAGGCCTGCATTTTTATGCCTTGTCATGCACCTTGTGATTGTCTATCTGCGACCTATTTATTGCTCTCTCATAGTGGCTCGATCACAGGCGTCTGTCTCTACCCGCAGACTGACTGTCCGTCTGTCCGTCTGCCTGTCCGTCTGTCCATCTGTCTGTCCGCCTTCCTATCTGCCTGCCCGCTGTTCGTCTTACTGCCCGCTGGCTTTCTGTGTGACCACTGCCTGTCCTATATGTTATTTACCCGCCCACTGCCACATCAGCACGTTCCACAAAGGGTAAACTATGGTAAACGGCGTGGCAATTTATATTTTAAGTATTTCATTTGTTAGGATCCTGTTTTCAGGCACCCACTGGATATGGGAGATCGCTTCAATGGTCATCAACGGTAAGGCGGAAACAATTCCAGTGCCAAAAGAAGATTATTTCATAGAATGTACAGACCTGTCTTCGTTGGACTCCAAACCTTCCCCACGAGTTCTAAACACCCATCTACCGCTTGACTGCATCCCCAAAGACGTGTTTACTAAGAAGAACAAAATCATCCTCCTCATTCGGAATCCTAAGGATGCCTATGTGTCTATGTACTACCATATGACGGGGATGAAGCAGAAGAACTACAATGGAACGTGGAACGGATATTTCGAACTCATACCACAATCAATTAAGTACGAAAGTGAGTATATTTACCGTGTGTCTTCGGATTTTTCTATTAGTATCATCACAGGTGTGTTCAACAAACAATCAAAAGCCCAGTTACTCGTATTAAAGAACGGGATATCGCGATTATACAAGTATTGAGTTACGGTAAATCTGTTTCTAAAGTTAGGAGGTGTGAATTATTTAGCTCGGCACATTTTATTTTTTTTACTTGTTTCTTAAAACATGAATATTGTGATGAGCTTATCTGAATATCAGTATTGAGACCCACAGATGATGATGATGAAAAGGTGATGAAAGTGCAAAAGAATACAGTAACATTACACATCCGTATATGCTTTATAAGTTCTCTGTTAAGAGTAAGGGACAACTGTTGAACGTACTGTGTTCTGTTAGACTTTGTGCACGTGTTGAATCTATGAAAATCTAGTTTTACGCATTTATAATCATAGGTAATACTGCATTCATAATCGTGTTATTAATTATTTATTTTTTCTCAGAGAGCTATGGTAATTGGATGTTCTACCATAAAAGATTTTGGGAATATGCCAAAGAGCACACGGATACAGTTCTTGCTTTAAAATATGAGGAGATGCTGAAGGTGAAGTTAACCTCTTGTTTAGAGTTATATTTTTTTAAAACCTCACAGTGTTCACATGAGAAAAATAAAATCCATCTTGAAATCAGGAACACTTCACAAGATAACCAAGACAAGCCGCCTAGATAAGTTGCAGTAATGACCCGTTTTCGTAATACATGTACATGTATACTGCACCCGGCAAGTTTAAAAATCAAAAGCCAAAAATACAAAATATCATCTATAAAATAAGCCTGAATTGCTGTAATCTATATTGAAAAGCTGATTCCCTTGTTTCTTTCTACAGATATAATTAAAAGCCGTATAAGGTTGTAATTAATGTTGAGAAAATAGTGTTTTTTTTTTTCATTGCAGGATCCAGTTAGTCACGTGCGTAAAGTTGCAGAATTCCTCGGCAAACCCATTGACCAGAAACTCTGTGAAGCAATCGCAGAAAAATGCAGTTTTGAACACATGAAAAAGGCCAAACAAACAAAAGGGATGGCTGGACCTGAAGGTGAAAAACACGCCAAACCGGATGAAAAACATTGGCGCGACAAGGCTCATGGCATGTATAGAAAAGGTAAGACAGTGTTTTGTAGGAAAGTCATCTTTGTCACAGAATTTGCAACTCCCCCCC